GACACAAGTATTTACTTAATAAAACTGGTTTATTCTTTCCGAATACAGCTTTACGATACACTTATTTTCAACAATCACGCTAAAACAAACGCTTTATCAACGAACGTCAACAATACTTCTGACTGCAGTTCAATTACTCACTATCTATACACACATTACATTCCCCTTCTTTTATATACCCGACTACCCTATATCTAGTAAATACTAGAGCATTCGCCAAAGTACAGGATAGTTCTAGAAACGTGGCGTCACAGTAGTCATGTGACTCGCTGACGCAACAATATCTTATGTGCATCTAAGACTAATTACTCTCGCTAGTTTCATTCATATTTAATGCAGACGCTTTTACTTCCCTGCCAGAGCACGAGGTTGTGTATCATATAACTGACATATTATCATTTGTTTTACACAATCGTACACGAATCTCATATCTATACGTTGCCGCTAGGGGAATCCTGTGTCGGTTAAGGGAATTGAGAGTGTTGCTGCAACATCTTTTTTCGTACTTAATGGCGAGAATGGCAGAACTAGGGATACAATATAAATTTTGTCAGGGTAAGAGTCATCTTCAGCAAAAACAGCTTTATTTTTCTAACAGGTGGTTGACCTTCGGAATAGGTTACCTTCAGATGTGGTAGGTGCAGTTAGTTTAAGAGTGTTTAAGTGAAGGTTTGATAAATATTTAAATGATAAAGGCTGCGCTGAGTGTTTTGTTTAGTAAATAGGAAAGCTTAGTATAAGTGAGGCAACTGGTCCCTTGTTGTTATTGAATAATATATATGTGTGTATATATACATACTGGTGTATAGCCCGTCACAAATAACGGAACATGTTACCACCCTACCCCATAGTAGACCCTAACCTCACACTTCATAGCTAACTGAAATAAATGAATTTTGCGAAATCAAGCTTGACCAGCAAAGAGGCAGAAAAGTGCAGTCGAAACAGTAAAACTTCGGTAAATTCCTTTGTGAACCAATCAAAATGAAGATCATTCATGAAATGAATTCGTGGCGTATTCATAGAGTAATTATCGATAAAAATCAGTTAAATTAACAACTTCTAATATATAGAAAAGCCAGTGCGTTTTGGTAACAGTACGTTCCAACAATGGCTTTTATGTCATGTCGTTCAGCAACAAAAGTATAAATTTATATTGTTGTTAATCTATGTACTGAAAGTATAAAATGAAATGTATAGATAACAAAACTGGCAAAACTGTTCATTTCCTAGTTTAGAGTCTCCTTTACTAAAATAGAGGTTCGTTTTTTATCAAAAACATTGATGATATAACAGAAAATAACTTAGTTCAGAAACAATTTAATTTAAAATTGAAGCGATATTTTTACTTTCATAATAAAGTTTATACACTGGGCTCTAGGCTAGGTGATCCCAAAATTTATACACTGGGCTCTAGGCTAGGTGATCCCAAAATTCACTATACTTATATAGTTTCACGGCACCCCCTTGTATCCCCGTCACAAAATTCGTAATTGGCAGACAGTAATCGAACTATTCTAGCTGGTTAAATGCATTTTGGCTTTTATGCCTCTCCTATTTCGAGAGACCAAGAGGAATCAAGCGCGACGTGACACGCACTGGCTTTAATATAGGTTAGATACATAGTGCTACGACAGCGGAAGTCACGTGACCCTGGTATCACGTAAT